AAGCCCACCTCTTGGAACTTTTTGATGCAGGAAGAATGAAATCGTCTCGTTCGTGTTAGTAGATCACCGGAGGAGAACTGGTGTTCGTGAAGTGAATTTCTACATGTGTAAAAGGTTATTATTAGTAAAATATCTCCAGCCCGAGTCGCTGCAGCAGCCAAGAAAAAGAAGAAACATGCCAAAACTGGAAAACTCGCCATGATCTCACGTCAAAGAATCTACTGATATTTGAAGCAAGCTTGCCAGAAGGACTGCTTTGGAGAAGTTTCCAGTCAATGCCGGAAACATAAGAGACAACCATTGTTAAGACGAACGGCTGTCTCATATGGTTCATACCGAATCTTTTTCTAGAAGTTGCAATAAACCTTTCGTTGTATACTATGTTTAGGATCTCATCCGCGAGTTACAAGAAAGAAAGAGCTGACTTACCATTTATGATACATCACACCATAAGTAATCTACAAAATAATAAAGGTCGAGCTCGAACATTACAAGCATACCTGGTAGCTTCTCTTCCGTGAGTAGATCCAAAATCAAGCCAAAGTAACAGCACAGAGAGCAAAGCGTAAGCAGCGAACTAGTATTACTTCGAGCTCCGATCACAGTTAATTGAACCAAGAGTACGAGATAGAGCAAGTACTAACTCGAGATCAACTTCTCCGTGAAACCGAGTAATCCATGAGCATACACTCATGCCTGCCGCCGGAGACACGACGAAGTCTGCCTCGCACTGAAACGGCAGCATTTGCTTGATCCACTCGGCTTCCCGCACCTTTAAGGGGATCCGGCCTGGTTACGAGTATGTTCTTGAGCAGGCCCCTCACCTCCCTTGACGGGTAACCGAAGTTGCCATCAAGGCCATAGCATGTCAGCTGGAGATCACTCTTATCCTCCTCCTGATCCCACAAAAGCCAAGACTTTGTGTCCGCAACTGCTTGCTCCTTGCATTGACATACACGGTAACCACAGGAAGAACTTTCCACTTGGTGAGCTCGGATGAGACACCGCCCCTCGTCTTCAGGGACACAACGCAGCAAGTCATCCCCTCAGGAAGAATGAGATCGGCACCACGCATATCGTTTTCCGCTTGATGCCCGATAGCAAGGCCTCCTGCAAAGTATCTCGCTGCAGTATCCGGGACTTCCCGCACGGCAAAAGAATTGCAGAACAGGGGACCACCACTTTGATCGGATGAAGGTACCAGCTAAGCATAACGCTTCACTTCTTGAACTTGAGCAGGCTAGCAGCTGGGCGTCGCTGGAAGAGCGACAAACAACCTGTTTTTCATAGTAATACGACGTTCATATGTGACGCTACCATCGGGCAGCGAGGACACACCTGCAGGCCTGTTGCAGCAGCAAACAATACCATCCCTGGCTCTCTGTCACCTTGCCTTCAATGGCGAACTCATTACTGATTCCCATTTCACCCTATCCTATTCTGGCGGCCCGCACAGGCCTTCCATACTTCATCCAGGTTGACGAAGAACTATACTCCGCAACGCTCAGGCCCGGCTTGAGCATGTCTAGTTGCAAAGTTAGCAAGAAGTAGATCGGAGGCAATAAGCATCTCCCGGTCTTCAAGGCCCTGCTGCTGTTGTCCTCGTCACTCTTTCTTGGCAAAAACTTCGCGATTGTCCAGCATGAGCACAAAGTAGGCATTCCACGGAAACAAAACTCTGAGCGCCCCGCGGAGCTGAGGTTTCGTTCAGACCCCTTGCCTCGTCAAACACGAAAACGGCTCGCCTGTCCTCGCCGCACTTTCTCGGCGAGCTGCTGTTGTCCTCGTCGCTCTTTCTCGGCAAAAGCTTCGCGGTTGAGTCCAGCGCAAAGCTGGCATTCCACGGAAACAAAACTCTGAGCGGGTTTCGTTCAAACCCCCTGCCTCGTCAAACACGAAAACGACTCGAGGATTACATCACGGAACTCTGGTCGTAAATGCGCGGCTGGTGATCACCATCCAAGAGCTGTTGCAACTGCTCCAATGTTTTTCCATGATTTCACGCTTATCCTCAATGTGAGTTCTTCCCACTTCTCGCTCACTGCTCGGGCGATGCCAGAATCGCTGCCAGGCAACTGCTTATCCTTCCACTCCACGGCCGAAGTTCCTTTCTCCAATTCATGGAGCCAGGCATTCACCAGTAGAACACCATCTCTAGCTCGGTGAAGCTTTGTGTGCCAGGAATTCAGTCTTAAGTCCTTGGCAGATGAGGAGTCCTTGCCAGGCTGCTGTACACACCTAGCCTGGACATCTCCATGACAGACCTTCGAAGCATTCAGCCATCTAAAATAGAGTTTTAGATTAATTATTTTTAATAAAGTTTTTTAAAAAGTAAATTCTTTTGATATTAATAATTTTGGATTTTTATTAACAATAAATAAGTATTTTTAATAATAAAGAATAAAGAAAATTAGGAATGCTTGGTTAACATTGTAGCTTTAGGCATTTACATAATATTTTTGCTATGTTTTGTTTTTTTTGTTTGTAAAATTAATACAGATTTAAATAAAAATAAGTGTTTTAGTTTATAAATAATAAATTTAAAATTTAAATATTTATAGTTGATTATTATTTTATTAACTTGAAATCTAAATTCACATAATCTTTTAGTTTTTAGGCTTTTGAATAGGCCTAAAAGAAACATAGTTTTCTCTTTTTCAGTGGTATTTTTTAGTCTAAAAACATGTAAACATTAACAGAACATAGATTGAGATACTTTAAAATAAATTTTTATTATTGACTCACTCTTAATCACCATTAATCACTATATAGTTACATGGAAATCACCATTCTTTTATATTTGAAATTTTTATAGTTTAAAATCATAATATAGTTTACTTTATTAAATTCTTCTATTAAATTTCATAAATTAACATTACAATACTAACCACAGTTTTATTAACTTTTAATTTTCTTTTCAACCTTAAACTTTTTCTAAAATACTTAAATTAAATATACCAATGTAATTTATAAGCATAATTTATAAACACAATTTTGTAGTTTCTGTTAGATGATTTATTTAACTAATCATACCAAAAAGAAAAGAAAATATTACATTTTTTTAACTAATATTATGTGTTATTTAAATTTTTTCACAATTGTGATTGTTACATCTATTTTACACTTATTTTTAATTCTTCTATTCACAAAACTAACTAATGATCTTTTTAAATGTAATGAAACTTAGCTATACATACATACATATATATGTATGTATATGTATGTATATTCAGTACATTTAAAAAGATCATTAGTTAGTTTTGTGAATAGAAGAATTAAAAATAAGTTGTTAATGTTCCCACCCAATGTTCCCTAGAACGTTCAAATTTCACTACACATACTTGTGTAGTGAGAACACCAACTTGGCCAGTCACATACTCGTCATGTGGCACAACTAAACCACCTGAAAAGAAATGTATGAAAAAATCCATTCAAAAACAAGAAACCAGAAATTAACATTCTGTACGCGCTCTTGCATTAATTAGCTTATTTTAATGTTAATTTCTATGAGAAAATTATATGTTAATAAAACTGTGGTTAGTATTGTAATGTTAATTTATGAAATTTAATAGAAGAATTTAATAAAGTAAACTATATTATGATTTTAAACTATAAAAATTTCAAATATAAAAGAATGGTGATTTCCATGTAACTATATAGTGATTAATGGTGATTAAGAGTGAGTCAATAATAAAAATTTATTTTAAAGTATCTCAATCTATGTTCTGTTAATGTTTACATGTTTTCAGACTAAAAAATACCACTGAAAAAGAGAAAACTATGTTTCTTTTAGGCCTATTCAAAAGCCTAAAAACTAAAAGATTATGTGAATTTAGATTTCAAGTTAATAAAATAATAATCAACTATAAATATTTAAATTTTAAATTTATTATTTATAAACTAAAACACTTATTTTTATTTAAATCTGTATTAATTTTACAAACAAAAAAAACAAAACATAGCAAAAATATTATGTAAATGCCTAAAGCTACAATGTTAACCAAGCATTCCTAATTTTCTTTATTCTTTATTATTAAAAATACTTATTTATTGTTAATAAAAATCCAAAATTATTAATATCAAAAGAATTTACTTTTTAAAAAACTTTATTAAAAATAATTAATCTAAAACTCTATTTTAGATGGCTGAATGCTTCGAAGGTCTGTCATGGAGATGTCCAGGCTAGGTGTGTACAGCAGCCTGGCAAGGACTCCTCATCTGCCAAGGACTTAAGACTGAATTCCTGGCACACAAAGCTTCACCGAGCTAGAGATGGTGTTCTACTGGTGAATGCCTGGCTCCATGAATTGGAGAAAGGAACTTCGGCCGTGGAGTGGAAGGATAAGCAGTTGCCTGGCAGCGATTCTGGCATCGCCCGAGCAGTGAGCGAGAAGTGGGAAGAACTCACATTGAGGATAAGCGTGAAATCATGGAAAAACATTGGAGCAGTTGCAACAGCTCTTGGATGGTGATCACCAGCCGCGCATTTACGACCAGAGTTCCGTGATGTAATCCTCGAGTCGTTTTCGTGTTTGACGAGGCAGGGGGTTTGAACGAAACCCGCTCAGAGTTTTGTTTCCGTGGAATGCCAGCTTTGCGCTGGACTCAACCGCGAAGCTTTTGCCGAGAAAGAGCGACGAGGACAACAGCAGCTCGCCGAGAAAGTGCGGCGAGGACAGGCGAGCCGTTTTCGTGTTTGACGAGGCAAGGGGTCTGAACGAAACCTCAGCTCCGCGGGGCGCTCAGAGTTTTGTTTCCGTGGAATGCCTACTTTGTGCTCATGCTGGACAACCGCGAAGTTTTTGCCAAGAAAGAGTGACGAGGACAACAGCAGCAGGGCCTTGAAGACCGGGAGATGCTTATTGCCTCCGATCTACTTCTTGCTAACTTTGCAACTAGACATGCTCAAGCCGGGCCTGAGCGTTGCGGAGTATAGTTCTTCGTCAACCTGGATGAAGTATGGAAGGCCTGTGCGGGCCGCCAGAATAGGATAGGGTGAAATGGGAATCAGTAATCAGTTCGCCATTGAAGGCAAGGTGACAGAGAGCCAGGGATGGTATTGTTTGCTGCTGCAACAGGCCTGCAGGTGTGTCCTCGCTGCCCGATGGTAGCGTCACATATGAACGTCGTATTACTATGAAAAACAGGTTGTTTGTCGCTCTTCCAGCGACGCCCAGCTGCTAGCCTGCTCAAGTTCAAGAAGTGAAGCGTTATGCTTAGCTGGTACCTTCATCCGATCAAAGTGGTGGTCCCCTGTTCTGCAATTCTTTTGCCGTGCGGGAAGTCCCGGATACTGCAGCGAGATACTTTGCAGGAGGCCTTGCTATCGGGCATCAAGCGGAAAACGATATGCGTGGTGCCGATCTCATTCTTCCTGAGGGGATGACTTGCTGCGTTGTGTCCCTGAAGACGAGGGGCGGTGTCTCATCCGAGCTCACCAAGTGGAAAGTTCTTCCTGTGGTTACCGTGTATGTCAATGCAAGGAGCAAGCAGTTGCGGACACAAAGTCTTGGCTTTTGTGGGATCAGGAGGAGGATAAGAGTGATCTCCAGCTGACATGCTATGGCCTTGATGGCAACTTCGGTTACCCGTCAAGGGAGGTGAGGGGCCTGCTCAAGAACATACTCGTAACCAGGCCGGATCCCCTTAAAGGTGCGGGAAGCCGAGTGGATCAAGCAAATGCTGCCGTTTCAGTGCGAGGCAGACTTCGTCGTGTCTCCGGCGGCAGGCATGAGTGTATGCTCATGGATTACTCGGCTTCACGGAGAAGTTGATCTCTTTAAGTTCGAGTTAGTACTTGCTCTATCTCGTACTCTTGGTTCAATTAACTGTGATCGGAGCTCGAAGTAATACTAGTTCGCTGCTTACGCTTTGCTCTCTGTGCTGTTACTTTGGCTTGATTTTGGATCTACTCACGGAAGAGAAGCTACCAGGTATGCTTAGTAATGTTCGAGCTCGACCTTTATTATTTTGTAGATTACTTATGGTGTGATGTATCATAAATGGTAAGTCAGCTCTTTCTTTCTTGTAACTCGCGGATGAGATCCTAAACATAGTATACAACGAAAGGTTTATTGCAACTTCTAGAAAAAGATTCGGTATGAACCATATGAGACAGCCGTTCGTCTTAACAATGGTTGTCTCTTATGTTTCCGACATTTCCAAAGACAAGCCTAGGGTAGCTTGAAAATTTGGCTGAAGTGTGTGATTTTGGCAGTAGAATCCCGTTTCGATTGATTCCAATCGCCCCCGAGAGAATTCTCAGCTACCCTAGGCTTGTCTTTGGATCATAGCCTTTCATTTGTCCCATTTTGGTGTCTCTTTCGTTCACTTGCGTGCTAAGGGCTGATTCATAAGTAGCTAGAGTTCTTTCGATGGCTAGTCTTTAGTGGATTGGTCCTCACTTCTCCATTCTTTTTTTTTGTTGTTTCGCAAAGCTTGCTTGGGCTTGAGTTCATTGTCTACTTTTTTGTTTCATTGCTGCTAAAGACTTGGTCCGGCTAGAGTTCTCGTCCTTTAAAAGCTTTTTATCTCGAGTCTTCGGGAGTTCTTACCATACATTCTTTCCAGGGATGTTCTGGACGACAAAAGAGCAATCTTGGCATGCCTTGTGTCAAGCGTGTACTCACTCCAGCACGACAGATCGAAAAACTACACAGGAACTCCACAAGCTCTCGCTCCTCCCTGGTGGACGTCCTTCAACTACGAGCTCCTCGACGTGATCCTCGGCAATGACAAGCTCCGGATCAACGGCGCAGTGTTCGTGTGGAACTACAAAAACCACTGGAAGCCTGCCAGAGCTCCGATGGTGGTCCTGGCGCTCAGAGGCACGGACAGCCTAACCAGCGACTACATCGTCGACTTCAAGATCGCCAACCAGGAGCTTTACAAGACAGGCAGGTTCACAGCCGCGTACAACGCTCTCCGAAACGCCGTCGCATGGCATGGCAAGGACAACGTTTGCATCACGGGGCACTCGCTCGGAGCAGCGGTGGCGCTCTCCGCTGCTCGGATGATGGCATCGCATGGCCAGTTCGTCGAGGCTCATCTCTTCAATCCGCCATTCTCGTCCTCGACCGCTCCATACAAGTCACTCTTCGGTGCTGAGACTTACAGCAATCTCCAAGAGGTTTACACCGTTGCAAAGGCCGGGCTCGTCAACTTACTGGTGGATGCCGCAAAGAGAAGGGAGTCCGAGGCAGAGTTTGCGGCACTTGGAAGCTGGTACCCGGACATGTATGTTCATCCCAGTGATCCGGTATGCTCGGGCTTTCTCGAGCACTTCAAGAACTATCAGTATATGCTACAGGGGAAGTATGCGAGATTGGCGATGCCTCACGAATCCATCCGGGGCGTGCTCTGCTCCTCCAAAGCGAAGCCGCATCACCTCATCCCCTCGGCAAGGCTTCACGTCCCAGCGGATGAAGGCAAAGCTGCGAGTGCTCGAGACGCTCATTCTCTTACACAGTGGTGGTCGGATGGAGCAGTCGTTCAGGTGCAATTTGTCAACTTGACAGGTCAAGAACACTTGGATCATCCGCTGCAAATCCCGTTTGGGGGGATAAGCTACGAAGCTATGGTGTAGTACGCGGCTATGACTTCATGGTACATATTTTCTCTGTGCTCAAAGAACCCACCCGAGAAAAAAGTTTTTATTTTTCCTGTGCTAAACCAAGGTTTGAAGAGAACGCGGCGTGTTTTCGACGTTCAATCTGACTGGAAGAACGTCACAGGTGGATGTTTACCACGTCATGACTTTACAATGAACACTTTCATTGTCTGCTCGAGCCAAAGCCTTCAAAGTACGTTTGCTCGCGTTTGTTTTTGTTAGATGGTTAAAGAGAGAAAAAGGCCGGATAATGAGGGTTGGCGGTTTCAACTAGAGAAGCACAAGCCCAGTGAGGACAGATAGTGGGAATAACTTCAGAAAGAAGAAGCTGAGCTTCCCGAAAATGAGATTTTTTCGTCACTCTTTAGGTTATGAGAAGGGTTTACTCGTGGTAATCTTGTCAGTTCCTTTTGGGGCTCATCCTTTTGCAGTACTATAAGGTACTCTTCTAGGGATTGCCCTTGTGATGAAGAAACAAGCGCCTGTGTTGCTGCAAGACGACACTTTGGAGACGGTTCTCAGCTATGTGGACCTGGCCACACTAGCGACCTCATGCTCCGCCGTTTGCAAGTCATGGAACGCCATCATCGGCGATCCATCCTTTCGCCGCCGCTGGTGCCAAAACAGTGGCCACAAGGAATCCTTGCGGCTTATGACTAGCTCCTTCGACTACGGCGAGCGTTGCCACGCCTGGGATCCATCACGGCCCCAACGCAGCGTGGAGTTTCCGTTGCCCCACAAAACGGAAGAATTTCCTAACGCTCAAGTGGTTGCTTCCGCGGGTGGCCTGGTATGCGTCTTCAGGACGCACAGGGGCATGGTTGATCCTGCTGATGATGTGTTTCACCTGGTGGTGGGGAATCCAGTGACCCAAGAGTGGAGCGAACTACCACCGCTCCATTGGGAGGACAGAGAAAGATGCACTTTAGCGGGAGTGATCGACTTTGCCATGTTCGTCGACAAGAATGGCTTCAAAGTCGGTCTGCACTACACCGCTGTCGACTTCTCAGGCCACTGGTGCTGCATCTACGACTCGGCAACGCGCTCCTGGTCTTCTCTCCCCAAGCTCCCGTTCTCGCCAGCCTACGTCAAAATGAAGGCGCAGCGGCTTTCAGATTACAGCATGGACGTGGCACCCCCTGCTGTATTCCCAGGCTTGGACGATTACTTCTACGATCTCACCATCCTGGGATTTTACGACTTTGGCCGCGCCAGGTGGAGCACCGGGGAAGTCGTGCGCAGCCTGAGGATTACAACAGGCCTGGAAGACAAGGTTGACCCGGATGGAGAGATCCTGCGCTGCGTCTTGCCGCTCCCGGGACTGTGCACCGCGAGGCTGTGGGAGTACAATGGCCAGCGATACTTGGCAAGTGGCTGGGTGTATGCGGGAGGCTACCGCGAGGCAGGGGAGTCCGGAGTTGATGGCTATGGCGTGTGGAAGGTTGACGACAAGGGTGGCTTGGTTGCCGTCTCTGCAAAGACCCATAAATCGATCCTTCGTCAAGTGTACGCTGGGCAGCGCTTTTTCGGAGCGGTTTTCCGTTGTTCTGTTCATGCAGAGGCCAATCTGGTGATCTTTTCAGAGATAGGGATCATGTTTGTTTACGACTTGAGCACAGGGGATTGGGGCGGAGTAGGGGGGCACGTAGATGAATATTCACAAGCAGTGATTTTTCGCCCGTCCCTCAGGGCACCTAGATGATCCAGAAAGGAGGATGAACGCCACACAAACAGGTATTGTTAATCCTGAGCTAGTCTGTAAGTTAACGAGACTTCCTGGGCTGGCAGGAACACACACACCTGTTTGGAGCATTAGCGAAGTCTGTCTATTATTCAAGAATTATACACATTATGTACATATAAGATTTTGAGATTCTATGTACATAGAAGATTTTGCCTCCCAGAGGATTGCTACTCAACAGTACGGTAGACATATTCATGATGGGGATGAAAGTCTACTCTTCAAATCAATCAATGCCTCGTGATCCGCTGGTACGCTGCACCATTCCTGGGCCATATTCGTAGGTCGGATTCGCCGCGCCGAAGATCTCACGCTGCTGCGGCCGTGGTCTCCTTGTTCCACTTTAGAATTTGTGATCTTAGCAGGCAAAGCTCATGAACATGCTCTCCATCCGCGATCGCAGTCTTTGCGCTCCCTCGCCGCGGCCTTTGGAAGCCGCCGATAAGACTGCGCCACTTTCTGGCGGCACTCCAGTCTCCTGGTAGAAAAAGAAAAAGAAAAAACACAAAACAAAACCAAAGAACCTTTTTGCTTTCCCGTCAAGGCGAGCCTCGGTAATTTCTGGAATTCGTCTTCGCTGCTCAAGACGATTGTCGCTCAATCCGGCAGCTCTTTAAACATCTACGACCACAAAACAAACGCGTGACCACCGTAGCAAAACATTTCACATACTTACTTTCATAAATCGTGATCATTCGAGCATATCACGACAACAAAAACTATGAGGCGACATCCAAAGTGAAAACCATTTCTTCAGAACATCGAAAACAAGAACTTACATGAATAACTTTGCGCCATTGTTTCAACCTCTTTCTCCTCCAACCAAGAACACGAAGGAAAAAAAAAAACCTCTCCCCCAGATAGACGCAGAGAAAGAAAGCCCAAGCGCAGGCAGCAAGAAAGAAGAGACTTACCCGTGTAGCGTTTTGGAGCATTCCCTGGGATCCAATGGAGGCGGCCGAGCAAATGGGTCGGCGCTAAACCTTGCGAGGCGCGGCGGCGAGCACAGCCCAGTTCCCCAATCGCTGGAATCGGCGAGAGCGGCGGCCCCAAAAGCCTCCAAATCTTTGCTTGCCACCTTTTGCTAGACTAAACGAAGCGAGGGGACTAGCGCACCACCCTCGACGCCATGGATGGTGGTGGTGGTGGACGCTTAAACTCACGCACACGCACACGGGGGCACACCACTTAATAGAAAGAAAGAGAAAGAAAGAAGAAACCCAACCCAACTCTCTCCTCTCTCTTTGAGTTGATGGCCTAACTCTCTAAGTAAGAGTGCGATGCACGACTTTCAACTCTAACACGGGCAAACAATGGGAGAGAGAGAGCCCAAAAGGTAAGAAAAAAAAAAGATTGAGAAGAAAAAACGGCAAAAAGAAGAACAATGAGGGTTAAAATGTATAAACCGACTTGGGTGGTGGAAATTATTTCCCCCCAGCGGTCCAATCCATGGTGGCTTAAGGTGAGATTAAAGGCTAATCACAATTAGCCGCGGGCCAACGACTGCTATGTGCCACCGCCACCCTTCGGGAAAACAAATAGGATTTGTGTTAACCGAGGTGGAGTTTATTACCATTAGCGGGTGATTAGCGCCGCAGGCGTCAGATTGCTTTGCAGCAACGGTGAGGATTGGAGGGCGCCAGCGCTTTACAGGTCTACGTGTACGCTGCATGGACCAGGAAGCAAAAAGCAAAAAATAATGCCTGCCTCTCTTTTATATGTTTCAAGCCTGCTAGTCTAAGGGTTTAACTACTATACTCACAATTATAGAATTAGGGCGATTATAAATAACATATTAACATGTATATTTGCATCAGTAAGTTTATGCTTTTTGCCATAGACACTAAATAACAAATAGATTACAAACACTAGGAGAAGAATAAATGAAAAGTAATGAAAATGTCTGTAAGTAAGGTAAAACTCTATTGAAGCATTAGATTTAGAATTGGGTTGCAAAATTGATAACAATGCATTTTATGTGTTATATAGGTTGTAATTGATGAAGAGAGCACACAAGTGTTACACTATTTAAAAATTCAATACAAAGAAATACAAATAATGGATTTAATGAAACAAGAAGGGTCACCATAACTATGGTGAAGCAAAGTGTAGTTTATTTAAGCTAATATTAGGCTTAAACAAGCCTATATCATTTGAGAAGCGATTAAGCTTTCTTCTTTTCATTATTATTTTCCATTGTCTTTAACTAAGTTTTCATTCAAGGAGTAAATATTTGGTAATTAAGGTTTAGCAATGAAGTATATAAATAAGCAATATCAAAGTTTTTAAATTTGTAGAGTTTTAATAATGTATTTTCCTCCTTTTTGTTTATATCAGATTAAAAAGAAGAAAGTTCTTGATATCAAATGCTCTTTAAAAACAAAAAAAAAAAAAACCAAGGTAGGTTTAGGGTGTTCAAAGTGTTTATTATTTCCTCGTACTTTACAACCTTTTTGGATCTGACAAGTATTGAGCCTTGAAAGTTTATTTACTTCTAAGTGTTGATTTAATCTTTAATTGCAAATTTTGGTATTTTGTAAATTCACTAATTTAACAAAAGTTAATAGTTGTATAAAGGGTAGTTTAACTTGCTAAGAATGCATAGTGATGGATTTATTAGACACACTCTAACTACACATGGTATGGACAAGCTCATCATTCTATTTTAGTATGTTCATCAACTCAGCCTGTTTATTATAATATGGACAAGTGCATCATTCCATCTTAGTATATTCATCAACTCAGCTTGTTTATTTTTCATTTATGTTTTACTAGGTTCATGATATACTTTAAGAGTATTCAATAAAAGTATCAAGAAAAATAGAATCTAACATGTGCATATTCTTCCTTAAAGAAGTAGAGTATATGGATTGCAAAACATATTATATTAATGAGATTATTATAATAGTAGTTTAATATAATAAAATGTATTGAGAAACAAAGATTAATTATAGAGTGGATAAGTTTTTGCCTTTTATGAGTTGAATCTATTTTTATTCAAAGAGTTTTAAAGATTGCATTGATTAGCATTTGCTAAACAGTTTCTAGTCCATAACAATAAAGAGAAATTGTTGAACTTTATGAATCTCGCCAATTGATGATATTAAATAAAGGGTAATATCACTTTTTCACTATGCATTTTTTGAATTTTTTTTGTAATGTTGGGTCATTAGGTTAGGGAAGAAGGTAGATATGATATTTAATTTTTTCTCATTCAAATAAGTCTTGTGAGAGTAAAATTTTCTTTACTATAAGAAAAAAATTGGACTGTAAAAGAGGATTTAAGTAGGAAAGAAGCATGCTAGGGTAATAAGTCTATTTCTCACGTCTTTATTTAAATCTTTGTAAATTTTCTAATTTCTTTCTTTTTTTGCAAAAATTTTAGATCTATGAATACTCTTCAATCCCAATATAAATCATAGATAAAAATGCTATGT